GTGGGACAGGGATTCGAACCCGCGACCCTCAGATTGCGAGTCGAGCGCCCTAGCCACCTGGCCATGCCGGGCCGTCCGAAAATAAGATTACTTAATAATTCTGCATATTTCAACATAAATTGGTTTACCGACAACGGTATGCCCCGTGGTGAGGCGTGTCACATATTACGTTTATATGTAAGCTTTGATGTCGATAGAGTTCTATGAAAGCAGGGTATTTTCAATCGCAAATTAGTCCTTAGTTTGATTTATACATGGCAGTATACCAGTCGTCTCAAAACCTGTACAGAAACGTCATCGTGTTGGAATCATAAACGCGTGTAAGAAAGAAATACCTCAAAAAGCAAAGTACTACTTTGTTGCATTTAGTGGTCGTGTTTAGTGAGAGCTGGAATGCTACTATAGACCGTAACATAGTGTCAGAAATATTGAAGCAAAGCAAGCTCTAGCTTAGTCTACCTATTGAGTCTAGTGTGTGTAATATCAAATATGCGGAGTTAGAAAAGTCCCTGTACCTGTGGTTCTGTGATGTCAAATCTAAAGGGATCACTCTCAGTGATGACATGTCATGAATGTCAATGCATACCTTTAATATAGCAAAAGGTGGCTACATTTCTTCAATGAGCAGCACAATGCTTATGGGGAGGCAACATCTGCAGATGTGACAGCAGTATCTGAAAGCAAACAGAAATTTAAGTGAAAACTAGTGAACTGAGACCATGTCTACAACTAAAGTGGACCATGATGTGGATGCTTGTGAGATCCTAAACGTTGATGCCTTCCTGGACCTGGTAAGGATGAACAGGAAGGAGAGTGCCCCACCTTCCTACTAGTTTTATGCTGTCGACCTTAGTGCAACATAGGAGGAGGAGGCCTCTTAATCTCCTACCTCACTAAGAGATACTAGACAAGGTCTGATAACTGCTGTAAAGTACTTTGAACATAAGGATCAGCTTGACCTTGTGAGAGACCTAATGGACTTGCTAAGGGAAGCTGAGGCCTTGAGTGGGAAATGTAATAAGCAGAAAACAATTGCAGACCATTTTCTTACAGGTAATATGGACTTGCTAAGGGAATCTGAGACCTTGAGTGTGAAATGTAGTGAGTAGAAAATAATTGCAAACCATTTTCTTATCAAATAAAATGTGAAAATGTGTTTCAGGCAATATACTAAGAACAGATAATAAAGATGTCTCGAGTTTGTTGTAGAGGGTCTTACATACATTAAGCATAGTCCGACATCATCTTGTGCGACCATTTCATGACTGCAGTTTTATTGTACTTGTCCTGTACTGAAGTGCAAGCAAGTAAAGATAAACTATAATGATTCAAAGTTTATAAAGCCACTTCTGATTGTACTACTTGAAATTGCAATTAACTATTTCACAAATACTTAATGAAAGTGGATATTAATTAAAGGTTTTAGTCAGGTTAAACACATCGTGTGTAAAAAACAAAAACAAAACATTAGTTCGTTATTACGTGATTATAATTATTGCCATGATATTTGAAATAATTATGATGTTCTAAAATCACGTATCTTAATCGCTAACCAAAGACTTTATAATTCCAACAATTCCGTGATATAACTTAAAGTGGTGGAAAAAATTACTGCGCCACCCAATTTTTTCACACTTTTCTTAGAGAGTTGTTATAATTATACGGTGTGGTAAATAATTAAAATAGTTACTATTGCATGTTTTTAGACAGCTATAAAAAGGATTATTAAGCAGTACCTTCAATATTCTATTGTTACAATGACTTGTTAATGGTTATATTAGCGAAGCAGACTTCTGTTAGTATGTTACTATCTTACGAACCAGTACCTTATAGCTATCATAAACTGTATTTTTTTCTCAGGTATTTAAAGGTAACAGCAATATCAAGTATAGTAACGTAGTAAATCGACTAGGTGGTTTTTTAATTACGTTTGTACATGATAACTTGTTTTCTTTCTTTTAGTGGCCATCGATTTGATTGTTCAAACTATTCGCGACCTTCTTCAGAGTCACTCTCGATTTCAGATTCAAGGAATAAGTCATGACAGAAGGATCGCTAGATCGCGCCACTACTCTGACTCTCAAGTGACTCGACCTCATTAACATATTTATATTTTAAGGGTGGTCTTTCTTTCTCAAATTATGTTATATATTACGAGGTGACAGGGACAAAGGTTTGACATATTGTGAACTTATATTAAGAAAAACAGATCACTTTCAGTAGATAATTATATTTGCAATGAAAAATTTGTGAAATTATAAAAATCACCGGTTAGATACAGTTATTGTAGTTTAAAGATGTAGTTTTACACGCTTTACGTTAGTCTTTGATGATTAACGTCATTGCACCTTTAAATATATATATATATTTAATATTATTGGTGCTAGGTTTAGCTTTCACCGTATGTACTGTTGCTTATAATTAGTTATAATTAAGATACAAATGTCTTAAATATTTTGTATTTATCCTAAGAAACTTATAGTAGTTTCGATGTTGTATATCCCCGAGAGCTGCAATTTTTAATGGTATTTTTGATCGAAATTAAAAATATATATAGCTCGTGAAGTTGATATTTAGCTTATGTGTGTGTGAAAAAGGGAAAATTACTAAAAAAAATATCTTTATGTTATAGTCGTTTCTCAAAACAATATTGAGATCCATGCAATTTACTATCTCATGTAGCGAAGAACACTTTCGAATTTTAGTTGATAAATATCTGATTATTTTAATCATGCATAAAGTAGAAAAGTGTTCATTATTGAAATCTAAATAATATAATTGTCGACATTGTGTCATAGCCTAAAATTAAGATCTTCACGAGAGCATGTATGTCTTCCGTGTCATATCTTCAATATTATCTTGCTATACAATATCAAGCACTGGCAATAATAAGATAATCAAATAACAATCATATGCGTCTAACTGTACACGGGTGTATTTCGAATAATTCTTACTTATAGCTGTAACTAAAAATGACGTATTTTTTATTTCTTTAAAGCTTAAAGCTTTCAGTCATTGATTGTGAATTGTAGAATTAATCTATTACATGAAAATAACAAATTTACAATTACGTTCTTCTAGCCGTCCAGTGGTTCAGTTTAAGTTTAAGGGCTTACAATACTCAAAAGTGGATTTCGATACCCGTGGTGGGCAACACACAGATAGCCCATTGTGCTTAACAACACCAACAAAAAAACAACAAAAGCGCTCCTCTACGATTTCATAAAATAAAGTTTGATTATAATAGGGAGAAATACGTGTAACTTATTCTAGTGTGAGATGATATCAGTAAAGTCTATGTTAAGCTTTCGCGATATCAGGAGAATAGTTGATCGCGGATTTTACACAGTAGTTAATAAATTATTACGTCATCAATATAACATAATGAATCAGTTATTTAATAGCTAAGCTCAATCTTGTTAAATGACATCATCTAGACCTCAGCTACTGCAATTATGATGAACAGATAGTGGGATTTTATAAAAGTTAAATACAGAATAAATGCTCAGAGGGTGAAATAGGTCAAAATGACAGCTCGCGAAAAAAAAACAAAAACAAGTGGTCCGCCGACAGTCGACAAAAATTATAAAAAAACAACTAAAATAAACAAAGGAAAAATACTAGCATCGTAAATGAATTTGTGATGAAGAAATATATATATTTAGATCTCGAAATGCAACGCCTTTCCTCTCAATATATACTAATGTTACTTTATATAATATCTACCACGTTGCTTAACAGTATGCAGAGTAAAATACTTCTGGTCCGCTACTCCCAACTTTACCCAATCTGACCCACTTAAAACGTAGTTAAAGAATCATGGTATAGGTCACATTTTAGTATCCAAGATTATTTGTTTTGGATCTTAGGTACTCGGTTTAAAGGTTTAGGCCTATCGGTTGTCGGCCTATAGACGATTGTTACTATGCCTATCTAATGAAAATAAACTAATGTAGAGATAACTCGAAGAGGTTCAGGAGAATTCTATACATATAATTTCTCCAGTTCGAAGTGATTTATTTTATATATTGTTCTTGATGAAACTATAAAACAAAACAAAAAATGAAAATATGTTATTTTGTGTTAATGTTATTTTTTTATAATTTATATTTTAGAATATTTAAGTTGGAAAAATAAATTGTTCACATGGTTTATGGTCAGAAATGAGTTTATATTTCTACATGGACCTAAATAACAAATGTCATGTGTACAAAACATTCTTGACAAATATTAAATATTTTTGGGATATAAAACACATTAAATTAGATTCTATTGCACTGAATATTTTTCTTCAAACCTTTAAAACTAAGCCTACATTTTTTGAAAGATATAATGACGAAACATAGCAAAACGATTGCATTTTTAAGCGTTCTGTTCTTTAAGTTCAATACCAAAGGTTCACTGAGTAACTACACTCAAGGTTTTCGTTTAGATACATCTTTTATGTTCTGGGTTTTTAATGGAATTATAATGAAATTAACAGATGACCTGCGGCCACAATGGCAGATTAAATAAGATGAGTTATTGAAGCATTGTCGTCTCTCGCTTTCTCAGCGATAAACTTGAATATTTATAATGCTAGAGTTCGGAGTTTGATCCCACGACGGACATAACGCGGATAGTCAATTGTGCAACTTTCCGCTAATAACATAGTAAATAAATGAATGTGTAAATCTAAGTGATTCATTTATCACAAATTCAATAATTTATGTTATAGATTAATTCCGTTTGAGGCCTTTCTTCATTTTTTTTTCTAATTAAAAATCGCTTTAGTTTAGTAGATCAGACTGCTTAATTTCCTGAGATCATTAAAACAGATGATTTTTAAACGATCAAAATTCATTCGCGGCCATAAGATCAACGACCTCTAAAGCTTTTATATCTGCATAACAATTTAACAACCTTATAAGAACCTACTAACTTTCTCACCGTACTTGTAATATTACTCAGTCAATCTTTAGTCACTTTGAACACTGTATTACTTAAACATTTATAAAATAACAAACCAAGCATTGTATAAAAGTGCACAACCAATGGTTTCGTACTTTAGTTAGTTTGAACATTCACTACCATAAAATAGGATACATTTGAACATTGTATTACTTAAACATTTATAAAATAACAAACCAAGCATTGTATAAAAGTGCACAACCAATGGTTTCGTACTTTAGTCACTTTGAACACTCACTACCATAAAATAGGATACATATGAACACTATATTACTTAAACATTTATAAAATAACAAACCAAGCTTGTATAAAAGTGCACAACCAATGGTTTCGTACTTTAGTTAGTTTGAACACACACTACCATAAAGTAGGATAAATTTGAACACTGTATTACTTAAACATTTATAAAATAACAAACCAAGCATTGTATAAAGGTGCACAACCAATGGTTTCGTACTTTAGTTAGTTTGTTTGTTGAATTTCGCGCAAAGCTAGCTAGTCAACACTATCCACCGCTAACTCTTGGGCTACTCTTTACTCCCACGGCATGTTTAGAGTCGGGTTTCGATCCCGCGACCCCCAGGTTACGAGTCGAGCGCCCTAACCACTAGGGCACACCAGGACTCAAAAGAGGTGTTCGTATATTTTTAATGCTTGCTACTATAGCATTCGAACGTATATCATTCTATGACAGTTGACTCATTTAATTCTGAAAAAATCCTGAAATTTAATTTGACTTTCTTGATAAGCTCACATAGATAGCCCACTTTTCGAACTTCGTATAAAAACAAGCGTTCTAACGAAGCCTAGACTTAACACTTACGTCAGTCAAAGCACGAAACCAACAATGAATGGCATGTACCTGTAGAACATGTGATTACAGAGAGTGATCAATTCATAGTTATATTACCAAATAATATTGTATCTTTTAAACACAACTATTAAAAAAAACTGATCAGTGGATGTCTTACGTAACAACACTACTTAGATCAGTATTAAGAAAATATACAGGGAGTGGGGTTTCATGCATATTTGCACAGTTGGCTATCTGCGCTCCGAACACTGAGGATTAAGATATAACTAATATAGTGTATATTACAAAACCGATGAAGTATAATCGTCAGGCGAGTGAGCCTTGATGTTTTATTTGAGTTGAATTCGGGCCAGCTTCCAGTGTTCCTTAAGCTATAATTAGGAGAAATAGTTAAACATGCTTAAAGATAATTGAAATACGAAACAAATGCACTTCGCACCTATATGGTAATAAGAAAAATAAGTCCTGAAGCGGGAGCCTGCCTGACTGTTTCGGTCCTATTTACACGATAGATTGTTTGTTGAATTTCGTCTAAAGCTTCACGAGGGCTACCTGCGCTAGACGTCTCTAATTTTGAAGTGATCGCTAGTAAGAAAAAAAAACACCCATAGCTAAATCTTGTCACAGTGTATAGTGAGATTTGACTGTTACTCTTATAATGCACTTACCGCGATGCTTTTATACATATTTTTTTACAGTAACAATACGCTAGCCCACAGAACCATACATCCACTGTCCGGCATGCTAACCACTGGGCCACGCTCGGCCCTACGTGACAGAAAAAGGTAGAGGATGAAAACGATAAACCTTTTATGACTTCCACGTTTGTTGCTAAGCGCAAAGCTACACAATGGGCTATTTGTGCTATACCCACCATGGGTATCGAAGCCTGATTTTTAGCATCAGAAGTCTAGAGACTTACTGCTGAGCCACAGGGGGTTAGCTTTTATGATGAGGAAACTTTAAATAAAAATTACTTCACAACATATTTGTCTTTGTATTATTTAATTTTACTAGAAGACGATCAGCTAATGAATGAAACGTTAATTAATTCAACTAAATCATTAAACTTACTAGTGACTATCATCGTGTTTATTTTGTATTTGATTAATTTGTTTGTTTGTTTTTGAATTTCGCGCAAAGCTAC